TATTTTAACTCAAAATCAGTATCTAATGAAATCAAAGGACTGTGTCTATAAAAAGAAATTAGGAATCAAGCATGATTAGTAATTTTAAACTATCCTTGATAAAATAGAACCACTAATTAAAAATCAAATGGTTATGACTGAAAGCGTTTAAACTATATTTTGTAGAATGACATTCACCTGTATTCGTTCAAACACAAATATTGTTCTTTAGACAATGATTTAAACTATAACTACTATAAAAATTGTTTCCGAAAATATCCTTGTTAAATTTTTTTCTCTTAATTTCTTTCTATTGGCTTCATCTCTCTTTATTGTTTTGACTAAATTTTGATTAGTTACAAAACTTCTTTTCTACTGGCTACGCTTCCTTGCTAATTGTATCAATGAGATGGATTTCTATTTTTATCTGAAATTATTTTTCTCCTATTAATGATCTTATAAAGTTGATGCCAGAAATAAGCTTTGATGATCTCTCATAATAAAAATTTCTAATGTTCTTTTGAATTAACAATTTACACGCAGTTGAAAACCTCTTTATCCATTTCTCTATTTAGAAGCCATTTATTTTGAAATTGAAACCCATTAATTAGGATAAAATTTTTTTTTTAACTTTATTTTTAGCTCATTTGGGTTCTGGAAGAATCTTGTTGATTATAAAAATATTGATATAAAAATTATTGATAAAAATGTTGATATAAATAATATTGATAATAATTGATATAAAAAATATCGATAATAATAAATATAGTTAAAAAATTGATATAAATAATTATTGCTAAAATAATTGATAAACATTTTGAAAAAGATACTTTAAAATTTATAAAATTATTATTAATAAAATATAATTCATTCCCATCCAAATCCTTTAAAATTACTCAAGAAATATCTCATCTATATTACAGACCAAGTTGGACATTACAACCATTTATATTTAAAATAAAAAAACAAACAGAGTAGTAGGGTGGGTATAAAAATTTAAAGTTCTTACGATAATAATTGAAAAATTATTGTTGATTGTATTTTATTTATATATCATTGTTTGCATACCGTCCTTATTAAATTTACCATTATGAATGAGTCTTTTTGAAGAATGAAACTCGTTATCCAAATCTACCCATCGTCCAATCTTTTTCTCATTTCCTTCTTAATCATATGATCCATCCCCCACCACTATATATTTTTCTTCTATAATATTTGCATTTATACAAAGTTCTTAGAATACTGACACATAAACGAGGTATCCTATCTATCTACCTTCAATCCATTCCTTTTATATTTGCCATTATAAGTGACTTATTTATTATAATTAAACTCTTCATCCAATTCTACCCACTTTCCAATCTTTTTCTAATTTCCTGCTTCGTCATACGATCCACCACCACTTTATGTTTAAATATTCTAATAAATGAATAATATTTATAATTATTTAAATTCTTATTTTCTACTTTTACAATACATGATATCTCATTTCATACCATTCATATTATATTCTCCAAAATAAATCACTTTTTTTAAATTATAAAATCCTTTATCTAGCTCAATCCATTTACCTTACTTTTAGCCATTTTTATTGTAAAACCCACAACCACTAAGCAATTTTCAAAATAAATACATCTTAGCATTTTCAGAAATAAAATTCCATCTTTCAATTCTAAAGCCATTTTAATATTTTCCAACATCAAAAATTTCAACTTTCCTATTCACAATGTTCAATTAATATTTACATCTAATAGTTTAGGAACGGATCTTTCCAAAACCCTTACTTCTAACCATCTTTATATTATCCTCCAAATATTATTCAAGTTTTTGAAAAGGAATTAATTTAATATTACTTTTGCCAATTTATTTCAATATTTAGAAAAACAGTTTTAATAAAAAGAT